ATAGGCATTCATCTAGAATTCCCCATCCCGGTTTTCAGAATGCCAGGTTTTCTCTCAGAGCCCAGAGCTGCATACTTCATTTGCCTTGGCTGAGACTTAAACATTTCCAGTTCTTACTCTCATAATTGGACCTTGGAAATTAGAAACCCACAGCTTTCCCTTGTGTCTGCCTGTCCAATTCAGGTGGTGGCGAAGACCACTTTGTACCCATTAGGAAGGCCCTGTTGCCCTCACACTTAGCTGTTAACTGCTTGTTAACTGCAGTTCAGTCTCCCATTATCCTTATGTAGGGCATCAGTACAATGTTAGCAGTTACTAGCCAGCTCTGCTGTTTTTCCTGGCGTTTTTCTGCTGAATCTGCATTATTGCTTTGGACATGAAGCGTATCCCTTCACGAGGACATTTTCCAGGTCACCATCAGTGTAATCTTTAGCAATTGAGCCATGACTTGTGCCAGGGACTGCTCTCCTGTCAGTTAGGATGGCATCCTTCTCTCCTGTAGAGTGGTCTGTGAGCATGTCCCAGACCCCCTATCTCACCGCTTGCTTTCTTAGATCATTCTCAGGGCTGCTTGGGTTAGTCTGGGTCTGAGCAACAGACACCAAGATGATCACAACTATGGGATTTAATTAAGGATGCCACCTATCTGAACAAAAGGGGGTAGAAACTGGGGAGGCTGAAAGAGCCATCAAACCATAGTGCAAACCTGACCCTTACAATGGGGAGGAGTGGAGGTTGGGTGTGAGCGAGCTCTCCTAGTCTGCCATGAGGTGTAAGGGAAATTCGGCAGAGCTGATGGGGAATTCTTGTCTTTAACTCATCTTTGCCAACTTTTTTAGTTATTTCATTCAGATTTCTTGCTGTGGACTAATTTTGCGATTCTCCATTTGATGTGGTGGGAGTTACCCATTTCCATACTGGAGAGAGCAGCCAGATATAGCATAGTCCTACCTCCAAATTCCTAGATAGCATAGTCCTACCTCCAAATTCCTAAGGAAGGACCCTGGCCCAGTTTCAGCTGTGTCTGGAATCTAGTTCACAGTTATGTGAACCAGGTTGTCTCTCTCTAAATTGAGACATTTCCCAGAAAAGCTGGACAAACTACAAACCTAACAGGAAGACTTCATATAACCTCTAATAGTCCCTAAACATTTCATTAGCAGTCATTGTTTTATTCTTCACAGACAGACTGACTTTGAAGAATGATTCAGATGGGTCATAGTTCTTCCAATAATGGAATCAAGAGGCGTATAAGTATTCTGTTGGTGACTAACTGGATCAGTTCATTAAATGTTTGTTTTTGTAATTGCAAAGCATTTTCAAGGGTAATCACCGACCCCACATTTTTTCCTTTGACTCTTCTTTGCTTTTCAATTTATTCAAAATTGAATTAGTGTTAGAGAAGATAAAAGCTGTCTGGGGGAAAAATACATTTGTTAGAGTACTGCTATGGTTTGGATGTGATTTGTCTCCATCGGAACTGTTATTGAAATTTGATCCCCCAGTGTGGCGATGTTGGGAGGTGTAGCCTAGTGGGTGGGGTCCCTCATGAATAGATTGGTGCTTTCCCTATGGGGTACGTTCTCACTCTTGTGGGAATGGATTACTTCCTGTGAAGGTGGGTTGTTAAAAAGAGTCTGGCTTCCTTGGTTTCTGTTGTGTCTTCTCTCACCATGTAATCTCTTTGCATACACTCCCTGTTCTATTTTCCATCATGAGTGGAAGCAGCCTGAGGCCCTTACCAGGTGCAGCTGCCCAGAATCATAAGCCAAATAAACCTCAGTCTCAGGTACTCTGTTATAGCACCACTAAACTGATGAAGACAAGTAATTGACACTGAATTTTAAAGCCATAAAAATCATTACTCTACATGATTAGAACTTTTAAGAAGAGCTGCAAAACTCTCTTTTCTGAAATTGCAGACATGTAGCATGGCTTCTCTCTGTTGTCTTTTGCATCCATACAAGCATAGGAGCTCCAAATAGAGGTTTAATGATCATGAAAAATGAAGGCTAGGGATTAATTAGTCAAAGCTGAAATACTGGAACAACAATATATGAAGTACCCCAAGAGAAGTCAAAGAGAAATATGTATGTAAATGTCTATGGCTGTACAATCAGTAAACAATTTTTAAATAATGAGGCTGTCGAGGACTGTTCAGGGCATTGTGGGGAACACAGAATTCTCCCAAATTCAAGCAGCTTTCAAGCAGCTTATAGTTCATCTAGGAAGAAGAAACTGTCAGTCCTGCCTCTGCCAGGCACAGAGACTCCTACAGTTTCTTGGGATGGTAGGATGGTAAATGGGGAAATGAATGAAGTGCCGACGTGTTGTCCCTTCCGAATCCCACTCAGAGCTTCCTGTTGTTCTAAAATGGAGTATATTTATAGAAAATGTGAGGTGCGGTGAGGGCAGATTAGGAGACAACTGCCATAGAAAATAGCTTGTTACAGTTCCCAAGAGGAGGGGGCACACCAAACCATGCAGGGTCACATAGAAAGCCCAGGGTCCACCAGGAGGCAGATGGGGATGGGGAACTGTGGGCCAGAGTTTTTACTGTGGTTTCTGTGGGAAGGAGTGGACAAAGCAGGGCAAGCAGACTCAGGATTGGCTGATTTGAATAAATTCAGTGGGCTCTCAGCTTGGGGACTGTTTCTAGTTGTCTAGTAGTTGGCCATGGGGTGATTTGCAGGTGGGTAGTGGCTGGGAGTGTGAGAGCCCCATTGAGGAGGTGATAGGTGTGTGGGGTCTGGATTGGTTGGTTTGCATTTGAAGAGGGCTCTCTTGGGTGAATCGTTTTCCATCTATTAGAATTAGTAATCCTGGGAGGATGGCACCAAGCTATCCACCCCCATGATTCAAAAGCTTCCCACTTTCAATACCTGAGATCACATTTCAACATGAGATTTGGAGGGGACAAACATCCAAACTATATCAATAATCTTGTCAAAATAAAAATATTCCAGTCATTGAATTTTCTAGTATTGTATGAAGATGAGGCTGGTTATATGATTAGGAGGTTTGAAACTCTATAAACTCCTTAAATAGAAAATTGATGTTTTATTTATCTTTTTTTTTTTGAGACAGAGTCTCACTCTGTCACCTAGGCTGGAGTGCAGTGGCATGATCTTGGCTCATGGCAATCTCTGCCTCCCGGGTTCAAGTGATTCTCCTGCCTCACTCCCAAGTAGCTGGTATTACAGGTGCTCACCACCACACCTGGCTAATTTTTAAAATATTTTTAGTAGAAATGGAGTTTCACCATATTAGCCAGGCTGGTTTCAAACTCCTGACCTCAAGTTATTCACCCACCTTGGCTTCCCAAAGTGCTAGCATTGCAGGCATGAGCCGCTGTGCCTGGCCTATCATCTTTTTGAAGAGAGGGGTGAAAGGGATTCCTAGGATGTTGGGGAAGACTTTCCTGAAGTGTCTGGTGATCCTTGACTCTTATTTAAGTCTGAGGCACTAAGAGTTGGTGCACTCTGGGTCCTTGGGGAGAATTTTGACAGGTGTTACTGCGTGGCTGGCAGTTTCAACAGGGAAGAGCCTCCCTCTCTCTGGTGTTCATATTTGTAGATCGTTTTTCTTCAGACATTCCACAAGAAGGAATGCTTCGGTCTTTCTGGATGGAAGTAAAAGCCAGGCTGCCTGTGTCCCAGGAGCCAAGTGGAACAGGGTGTCGGGGAACTGTCTCAGCAGTCAGTGTAGACTTTGATGTAATATTCCTGTTTCCAGTGTATTTCCTCCCCCTACCTTTAGCTATGCCTAGAGTCCCAAGTTCAGATTCTCTAATTTACTTTTCTTTCCCAGAGAATAAAACATCCTGGGTTGGGTGGACAAGGAGCAGCCCAGGAAGGGAGAAGGCATTCTTAAATGGAGTTTTAAAAGCCACCCCTCCTGTTTCCTCTCCCCTTAATTCCCATTTTGCACTTACCCACTGCCTCCTATTCCTGAGCTTTTTGTAGGGAGGGGGAAGGTTCTGTAGCTCAGGCGGGCTTACTTACTTGGGATAGTAAATGGGGAAATTCACCTGCTGCCCCAGTTAGTAGCCTGTGTGTACCAAAATGCCAGAGGTTTGTCTAGGAACCTGTTGCGTGCCACACTAAAAGCCAATCACTGAGACAATGAGTGTTGTCAGGGAAGAAAGCTTTGATTGGGCACTGTAGCTGGGGAGATGGGAAGTAAGTCTCAAATCCATCCTCCTGACTTACTAAAATTAGGAGTTTTTTTTTTTTCATTTTTTTTTTCTCTAACTAGAGTAATCAGTTTATAAATTAGGGGGTTTATATAGCAGAAAGAAATGTAACCCATATGTGAGAAAACAGGAATTAGGGAGAGGTAAGAAAGAGGAGCTGGTCAACGGGAAACACATGGTCTTAGTCATAATGGATGAGGAGCCTGACTTCTCATGGTCCAGATGAGATGATCTAGTAAGTTTTAGTTTTTTAGTATTATCTGGGAGGCCTGATGGATGGTTGCCTGAGAAAGCAGTTCAGATGAGACAAATGTAACTTGCTCAGGTTTCAAGACTGGGAGGGTCAATTTCTATATTTATTCAAATATCAGTTCTGTGGGACAGCCGGGCTAATGTCATAGTGATGGCCTTTCCTGTCTCCTGATCTGGGTAAGTGGTCCACAGCTTTGTGGCTTTTGTGTCCCCTCTTGCTCTTGGTACATGTGGCCTTTTGCCTTTTCTCTCTCTTCTCATCTCATTGAAGAGGGAAGTCGGTAAAAATGCATGTATTTGATCTGTCATGCTTAACTGGAAATATGGCATATATTGTTTTTCTATAAAAGTAAGATTATACTATACCTATACCTTTGGGATCTGTAAAACTCACTAAAGTAATTCACTATATGTTGCATTTTAGCTGATTCTGTCACATAGAAATTTTAGGATAATGAAAATTCCTGGAAAAGTCAATTTTCAGGGAAATTAAAATTCCAGATTTGTTAAAATGTGAATATGAGCTTATAAAGAATGTCTTTTTAATTTGCAGATTGTGAGTCATGCCTTTAGTGAAGAGGAACATTGAGCCCCGGCACTTGTGCCGGGGAGCTCTGCCTGAAGGGATTACCAGTGAACTTGAATGTGTGACCAATAGTACTCTTGCCGCCATCATACGCCAGCTGAGCAGTCTAAGTAAGTCATCTTTTCCTGATTTCCAATGACATTAACTTTTTGTTAGCGAATTGATTTTAATAGTTAAGTGATTATTCAAAGAAAAGAATGCAACTTTAAGAAAAAGATTCTTTCTCCTTCTGTATTTCCCAGTGTAAAATTGACCACGGCACCCATACTGGGCTTGTGATGCTAACTTTAGGCAATGAAGATGTGATGCTGTTAACAACTCACAAATTATTAGATAAGATCAAATGTGCAGATTTAAAACAGTGTTAACTTTTAAAAGCTTTTGAAAATGAAGATAATTGGTAGTTTTTTTTAACTTTAGTGATTTATTTTGTTAAATTTGAATAGAAACAATTGTTTTGTTTTTTAAGTGTAATAGATTGAAAACTAGTTAACACCTGTGATATGCCTGGCAGATAGTACATACTCAATAAATATTTGTTGAATAACATCCCAAATGAACCATAGTATAAAGCCAAACAATATATTTGCTGATTTTAGCCTACTGAAAGTTAACAGATACTAACTTCCAAATTGGGGTGAACAGATCACCTGATTATTGTATGTATATGGTACCATGTATATATTTGCATGCATAGATATATGGCAAATACAAGCATAGGAAGAAAAGACTTCTTCTTGTTCTAATTTTGAATATTATATTAAATAGCCAAAGACTGTTTCATTTTATAAGACTCAAATATGCATGAAAATGCTTTTTCCTTCAAAGCTGTTTGAAGTTGCACCATTTTCCCCTTAACTTTTACATTTATTTCATGATCTTGTTTTCTCACTTCATCCTACTCCTTTTCAGTTTAGATGATTTGTGTGGCATTTTTGGTGACAGATTTTCACAGTTAAATTTTTCAGAAACTCTGTTAATAACTAGGAAATCTTCCATGAAATGTCTTATATTGGTAGCCTCAAGCATAGGACAAATTTTTTTAACTACTTTTATTTATTTTGAAGAAACACTGCAGATAAGTATTGGTTTCTTTAATAGAGTTATACTGTATTGTTACTGATATATTTTAAAATAATATTTATAATCATTAGCTAAGGCAAAAGTAACTGGAAATTATATAAAATGTTTTTTAAAATAAATTTTTTCTGGCATCTAAATAATTACAATTGATTTTTGGTAGTGGTTATTGATAAAATAACAAATTCATGTAATTACATGAAGACTCCTTGTAAATTATTGAAGGGTAAAAATGTTTCTGTTTGTATTTATTTTTGTAGGAATGCTTTTAGTCTCTTGTTTTTATGACTGTAATGTCTGTTGGCACAAAGTATAAATGATGAAAGCCAACATAAACTGTCAGAGTTTTAATAATCAATCTGTATCTCATGTTGTAATATTCAGCAGAGTGTTGTATTAGTTGTGTTTATGGTGTTTGCTTGGCCATAGTCTCCTGTAAGTGAATCTGCCCACACGGTATGCCTTGTTCTACATGGCCCTTGTGGTAAATAGAATAGTAATAGCCTCTCCACATATGCCCATGTCCTTATTCTTGGAATCTGTGGATGTGTTATGTTACATGCAAGAGGGAATTAAGGTTGCTAGTCAGCTGACTTTAAGAGAGGGACATTATCCTGGTTTATCTGGTTGGGTTCAGTATTATCTGGTTGGGGAAGGAGGGAGGTAGAATAATCAGTGCCAGGGTGATGTGATGTGGGAAAGACCCAACTGCCATTTCTGGCTTTGAAGATGAAAGAAGGGGCATAAGCCAAGGAATGCAGGCGGAGTTGAGAAGCTGGAGAAGGCAAGGAAATTGATTCTCTCCTAAAGTCCCCAGAAAGAATACAGATCTGCCACTATCTTAGATTTAGTTCAGTGAAAATCATTTCTGACTTCTGATATCCAGAACTACAGGATAATAATTTGTGTTATTTTAAGCTTTTAGGTTTGTGGTAATTTGATACAGCAGCAATAGGAAGCCACTCGACCTTTGGTTGTGTTTTGCACCACACTATCCACCATATCCTAATGATTGGACCAGAAATGGGAACCTGCCTCGTGGATAGTCAGTCCTTAGTTAGGCTACTGCAGTGCATTTCAACCTGGCTTCTCTATCAGAATCGGTTGGGGAGCTTTAAAACAGGATGCTAGGGGAAGGCCGAGGTAGGCAGATCACGAGATCAGGAGATTGAGACCATCCTGGCCAACATGGTGAAACACCATCTTTACTAAAATAACAAAAATTAGCTGGGCATGGTGGCACATGTCTGTAATCCCAGCTACTCGGGAGGCTAAGGCAAAAGAATTGCTTGAACCCGGGAGGCGGAGGTTGTAGTGAGCCAAGATTACGGCACTGCCCTCCAGCCTGGCAACAGAGCGAGACCCCGTCTCAAAACAAAACAGGATGTTAGGAATCACCCCAGAGGTTGTGTTTCCAGTAAGCACCAGAGATGACCCACAAAATTAGCTACCCATGTGTCTGGATTGAAAAGATGAGCTGGGTCGGTCAGATCCTTTCAGGAAGTTTGAACTAAGAAATGCAGTGAATTTGCTGGTCTCCTAAAGGACCTACTGCTAAAATGTCATCTGGGATTGAAGAAGCCATAATGACCACCTGTTAGGCAAAGTTGTGGGAGGGGGCAGAACTCAGGAAGAAGCAGAAGGAAGCCAGATGGTGAGGAAAGGCGAAAGAAGAATGTAGAAAGAGAAGCAGGAGACCACGAGGCCCACAAATTGGAGGCAGCAGCTGCTTCTAGACCTGCCCAGGATGGCTTTCCTGTCCTATTTGCAGTGCAGGGCCTGGGTGTCCTTGCAGTGACCCTTCCTCACTTTAGGTTCCTTGACTGCGCCTGGGGCTTACAACCCAAAGAGCCTTACAGAAAGAGGAGTACAGTGTTATGTACTGCCAAAGATATAATTTTAGAAAACGACGATAACTGAGTACAATGAACTGAGTGTTTGTGTCTACCAGCAATTCCACATTGAAATCCTAATCCCCATTGTGATGGTCTTAGAGTTAGGATTTTGGGGAAGTAGGAGGTTATGAGGTGGAGTCCTCATGAATAGGATTAGTGCCCTTATTGAAAAGGACTGAGAGAGATACCTTGCCCCTCTGCCTAGTGATGCCATAGCAATGAGGCACTGTCTTGAAGAAGAGAGAGCAACCTTCACTAGACATCAAATCTGTTCTGCACCTTGACTTTAGACTTCCCAGCCTCTGGAACTGTGAGAAATAAATTTCTGTTGTTTATAAGCCACGTACTCTATGGTCTTCTCAGATTACATATGCTCATATTACCTATGACACTGAGTTACCAATTGGTGATAGAATATCAAAATAGATTATCTGTAGTTTATTAGTGTTTATTCATTCAGCACCCCTCTAAGTACAGCAGACAGCAAATAACTTTAAATTGGCTTCTACTTAGAAGTTAACCACATTTATAATTTTTGAAGTAATTGATAAGTCCTGTCAACATGATTATAAAATAGGAAACAGATATGCAGTTATTACAACCTGCTACAAGACAACACTAGCACATAGTAAATGGCATTAATGTTTTGCATGAATCTTTAGTTGTTCATGGTTTCCCATTGGATATTAATATATTACAGGGGATGAGGAAAGTTATATGCAAATGTATATGAGCTAAAGTTGTTAGGAAGAATAAGAAAATTTAAAGGAATTTTTTTATGTTGTTTTTAAATTTTGTAATCAGGTATTTATATACCTGATTTAATCAGGTATTTATATACCTGATTTAATCAGGTATATAAATCAGGTATTTATATATTTAGGACGTATAAACCTATAATATTAAAAGTCTTCTTTTACAGAACATTCATTCCTATGGTAAAGTCAAATCATAATCCTTTTTAAAATTCCTTTGGGTACCTACCTGACCATTATTCAGTGGGTCCAGATGAGAATGGATCATCTTAATCCTCCCCACTTCCCTGCTCACCCCTCACACCTATGTCATCACCTCCCACCCTTACCTCCACTCTCCATAGCAGAAAATTGTTTTCAGATACAGATTGGGATACATGATGTATAATTATCTGCCTCCTATAAGTGATACAGAGGGGTACTAGACTTTCGCTACACATGTATCTTAGGGGAAACACCAGCACAACTTAGGAATTTGCCTTGAGCCTACCCTGGTCATCCCTGCCTGAGCAGCGGGGACTTGCCCTGGGAGACCTTCTGTGAAAACCCAGGGCAACTAATTGTTCTAGGGAAAGAAAAAAAGACCAGGACTCCAGAGGGAGTTTCTTTGGTCTTTTCTAAGTAAAAAGAGAGTTACCTGATCATTCTGATTCTTGTCACATTTATGGGGACGGTTCAGGGTCATGAGGATTTAAATTACTTTGCATAAAGCAAGAAAAGAAGCTGCTCTTAGATAACAAGTGGAATTCTGAAGGCCCTACAACTTTAAATAACTTTTGGGAAATCTGTGAGTTTTAAGCTCTGGACATGCTCCTACTCCATCCAGATCAGACACTTGACTTCAAGGGCCAGAAATTTTGTCAGTGTTAAATTTTTAACAGGCTTTGTAGGGAATTGATTCCAGTGAGACCATACTGAATTTAGCAACAGTCGTAGAAATGAAAAAGAGGAAACTTGTAACGTGAATGACCATATAGTTTAAAAAGATCACTGCATTCAAAGGTTTGGTCAATACATTTTTTTTAAGTCTTTCTTAATTTTCAGATTTTTTTCCTTTGTTACTTCAGATAGAGTACAGTTTAAGTAATCAGAGTGGCTGGGGGAGGAAAGCACTTGCCGAAACAGTTTTAAGTGTATTACTTGGTTTTCCAGCTAGAGAATTTAGATATTTTTTTCTTCAAATAATGACAGTTTAATGTAGCAATTAACATTAAATCAGGAGTGCTTTTTCATCATTTCCCTTGATTAATAATCTAAATGCCCTTGTTCCTGTCAGCTAGTTGCTCATTTAAAATCAAAGTATCTTGTAATCAAATTCCTACTGATATTATGATATAATTTCAATATAATTAGCTTAAAAATGATGACATTTGTGCCAAG